CTAAGAGTTGGCAATGACTCGATGGCGGATATAATCAATCAAGATCTGTTCAAGAGGCCTTCCATTTCCGCTTAACTCCTGCAGGATTATATCTTGGCACTGAGAAGACATCCCAACAGCCTTACGATGAATCCTGGCAGAGCAGCGGAATTAGCTGATTGCGAACGTTTTGTCATTTGAATAGCGCAAATGTGATAAATTGCTATGGGCAAGATCAAAATTTCACATTACCGGCACAACGGGGACCTTCTGCCTGCTGTGTGGATTTCACCTGAGCTCCGATGCTTAAAAAAACAAATATACTTTGTACTGCAAAGATAACTCCTTTAAATGAAGAATAAGACAGGGATAGACTTTGCCTCCCTGTTGTTAACAGGAGCACCAAATAATTTCATTTTACCAACAAGGTTATTTTAGTCACACACTTTTGTTTTTAATTATGTGGCTGCTTGGCCATTTATTTGTTTTTCTGGGTTTTTTTTTTCCTCCTACTTAGTCACTTGCCCTAGGTACAGCTCATTAAACATTTGAAGAGCATAAAACTGCCACCTGCAGAATATGGATATATTACAAGGTTGACAATAACAGCAACATTTGTAAGATAGGAGAATGGAAATGTGTTATAGTTTTCCTACTCGGACTAAATCAGCACCTGCTACGTAAATATTATATTTAAATCAACTGCTTCTGAATTGTCAGTGTAGATACCCTAGCACAGTGTGTGTGTGGGGGGGTGGTTCTTCCACAAATTTGGCAACTTTAAGATGTATGGACTTCAGCTCCAGAATTCCCTAATGTGTATGTTGACTAGTGAATTCTGGGAGTTGAAGTTCACACATCTTAAAGTTGCCAAGTTTAAAAAAAAACGCTGCTCTAGAAGACAGATACTTGAGATGGTACAATTTTCCAGTATAATAATTCAGCAAACACCAGTATGCCACAATTTCAACCACCCCACTGTTTTTGAAACGGGGCAATTGTAAATGAAAGAAAAAAAAAAGCCTCCTTGCCCTAAAGGCAATTCAGCATTATGGCTTCTGAGTTGAAAATCTGGTATGAGAAAGATGGTTTTTATGGCAAACCTATCAGTCTCTGTTTTCATCTGGGAAAAAATATGGAAAGGATTGGTCTTTTTTTATGTGGAAAATTAGATTTATGCCACTGGTTGGTTCAGGTGTGCTCTGAAATACCCAAAAGAAAAAAAAGTTTGTTGTGGAGAAGCCTTAAAGTAACTCATGAGTCCCATGAAAAAGAAATTCAATAAATGAGACCTAAAGTGGACTGAGCGAGAAGAAATAAATAGACGGAAATATGGTTCTAGTTAACACAGTAAAGAATATTCATCTTACAGGTTCTGTTTTTCTGCTCAGACTTTCCTTGTTGTTTTTTTGTTGTTTTCTACTATTCTACTGAGGATTAAGAAAACGCTCCACTAAAAATGCCCGGTTGTGTTGCTCACAATGATTTCGAGGATTATAACATTGCCATGAGCTAAACAAGTCTAAGTCTTGTTAAGCATTTTCCCACTGGATTCTAGGAGAGCCTTTGACAAAAGCTTTTCCAAGCAAGGTAACATGCTTGAAGGGACCAATTCTGCAGAGCTGAGCATCTCGCTTACATGGCTAAAAGGGAAACTGTATATCCAAGGTTATATATATAAATAACCCTGAGCCATGAAATTCACTTCTATTTTACCTGCAAAGGGGCTGTGCACAAACGGAACTCCATATGCAAAATCACTGCAGATGGGACACTGCAAGATTTTATGGAGTAACTAATTAAGAGCGAAAGTGCACAGTGGTTGAAGTTGTAGGACAGTGATGGCGAACCTTTTAGAGACCGGGTGCCCAAACTGCAACCCAAAACCCACTTATGCATCGTCGAGTGCCAGGTGGGTGTAGCCCATTGGCTGGGTGTGGCCAATTGGGGGTGTGGCCCATTGGGTGGGCGTGGCTGCGGTGGTAACGGCAGACGGGGTGGGACTAAAAAGTTCAATCAATCAATTCCAACTTTGCAAGATCTTTTTTTTCCCACGAGAAGTTGAAATTGACTGATTGATTGAACCCCCCCCCCCTTTTTTTTTTTTGCACGTGGCGATGGAGGCTTAAAGTGAAAAGGTTTTATAAAACCCAGCTGAAGGCCTAGGACGGGGGCAAGAGCACGCGTACCCACAGAGAGGGCTCTGAGTGCCGCCTCTGGCACCCGTGCCATAGGTTCGCCACCACTGTTGTAGGACCACACCATCCTATACAGCCGGTCCTCGACTTACAACAGTTCATTTAGTGACCGTTCGAAATTACAAGGGCACTGAAGCAAGTGACACATGACCATTTTTCACACATACGAAGTGCAGCATCCCCAGGGTCACACGATTTAGATTCTGATGCTTGACAACCGGCTCACATTTATGACGGTCGCAGTGTCCCGTGGTGTGTGTGTATGTGTCATGTGATCCTCTTTTGCAACTTTCTGGCGAGCAAAGTCAAGAGGGAAGCTAGATTAATTTAACAACTGGGTTACTAATTTAAGAACTGTGGGAGAAATGCAGCGAGAAAAGTCGTAAAATGGGGCAAAATTCCCTTAACACATTTTTCCCCTGAGCAACAGAAATTTAGGGCTCCATCGTGGTCATTAAGTGGAGAACTTATCTGTAATACTTGATCTTGAGGGAGAGTCACAGGACATCAACCTCATGCCCCGTTTTACTCAACGCTCCACGTTTCAATCTCCCTCCCATTATGGGAAGTAAGAGGGTAGATTTGATAGATCTTAAAGGATTCCAGCAAAACAATCTTTGCTAAATCCTTTGCAGCTGACCTTAAATGAACTTCAGCAGAACACAATGTGCAAGGAGATCAGGTTGTGGACCTTTTTGCCTTGTAAATAATTGAGCAGCACAATACAGATTCGGCTTCAACCCATCTCTGAAATAACTGGAATGTTTCACTTGCATTTTTCAAGCAGAAAATTAAGACCTTCTTTGAGAAATTTTTTTTAAAGAACAGATAAATAAAGATAATTACTGAATTAATTAATGAGCATGTGTATTTTATTGGGGATTTGTATCACACTCCAGTTACAGAGTATAATTTAAAAGCAGGCAGCAATGATTTTAGAGTCATAAGGGCATAACAACATTGCCAATTGGCTCTTTGAATGAGGAAACACATAAGATTCCAGCAAAGGATCTAGTGAATTATTGTAGTCAATAACGGTCCTCTTAAAGTCTGTGCGCTGCAGTTTTATCTCTTTTGCAGTCCCCTTGAGGAAGTTTGGCTTCCTTAAAACCTAAAGAATGTTCTTCAAATAAAATCTCTTAGAAAATTTGGGCAGGAATTCCATAAGCACCATGGTTGGCAAAAATCTCCTTCATAAATTGGGAATGAAAAGAATTCAATGGATGCTTAGATCACAGGGGTGTCAAACTGCTGGCCCGTGGGCCGGGGGCGTCATGCCGAAACTGCACCCACCCCATTGCCGGCAATGGAAAAAAAAAGTCACAATATGTCACTTGACGTTGCGAGTTTGACTCCCCTGCTATAAGGCCTGGCCAGTTCTTATAGAAATTATGAAACACAGGTTGTCCTTGACTTACAACCACAATGGAGCCCAAAGTTTCTGTTGCTAAGTGAGACAGTTAAGTGAATTTTGCCCCATTTTACTACCATTCTTGCCATAGCTGTTAAGCGAATCACTGCAGTTGTTAAGTTAGTAACCTGGTTTGTAAATAAATCTGGCTTCCCAAAGGACTCGGCTTGTCAGAAGATTAATAATAATGATGATGATGATGATAATGATGATGATGATGTTGTTGTTGATGATGATAATAATAATAATAATAATAATAATAATAATAATAAAGTTGGATCAGACAAATGGCTGTCCAGTCTCTTCTTAAAAACTTCCAGTGTTGGAGGATTCACCGCTTCTGGAGGCAGGTTGTTCCACTGGTTAATTGTTCTAAGTGTCAGGAAGTTTCTCCTTAGTTCTAGGTTGCTTCTCTCCTTGATTAGTTTCCATCCGTTGCTTCTTGTCCTGCCTTCAGGCGCTTTGGAAAATAGCTTGACTCCCTCTTCTTTGTGGCAGCCCCTGAGATATTGGAACGCTGCTATCATGTCCCCCCTCGTCCTTCTCTTCGTTAAACTAGACATACCCAATTCCAGCAACCGTTCCTTATATGTTTTAGCCTCCAGTCCCCTAATCATCTTGTTGCTCTTCTCTGTACTCTTTCTAGAGTCTCAACATCTTTTTTACATCGTGGTGACCAAAACTGGATGCAGTATTCCAAGTGTGGCCTTACCAAGGCATTGAAGAGTGGTATTAATACTTCACGTGATCTTGATTCTATCCCTCTGTTAATTGCAAAAGGGGATCGCGTGACCTTGGGACATAAATAGGAGTCAGTTGCCAAGCGTTTGAATTTTATTCACGTGATTATGGAGAAGTCTGCAACAGACATGTGGAAAACCTAAGTCATTCTTTTCTGTGCCGTGGTCGGTCACTAGAGGAACTAAATAAGTCGAGAACTCCCTGGCAAAGCGTGCCATCCTAACACACTGTTTTAAGCCATGCCACCTGAGTAACGCTGCTAGGCTGAATACTGTGCTCCTTTGCAGGGCTGGCTCCCTCTAATATTCTGGTATGGGGCAAACATAACGCCATTTCCAATTCTTCGATTTAAAAGTTGGTGATCTACTTAAAGGACGCCCTTCCTCATTTCCAAATGTGATCAGGAACCCCCCACCCCAAAAATCCATTGTCAGCCCCGAAAGTTTTGCCCTTAAAAGATACACCGAGGGAGAACTCTGTACGTGGCCAGAGACTCTGGACAGTTCCCAAATGCATCCCGAGATGCACAAGCCGGCAGGAATTCCTGACCCAGCCGCGGCGAAAGCGCATCGCGCGGGGAGGGCAGCGCCAGCAGCTCGTCCCCAACGGCAGCCCCCTTCGCTCGTGTCCTCCAGCGGGGCGCGGATTCGCGATCCCCAACGCCTGCCCGGCCAGTAACCCCGGAGGAAGCGGGAGAAACTCGGTGCATGCTCAGAGACACGCGTGTCCTTCAAGGAAGCCTCCTCCGGGCCACGCACGCACGCCTGCCTTTCTGTGGCAACGCTGCGCTTCTTGCAACAGTTGCCGGGCGAGCCAGCATCCTCCCGCGCCCCGGGGTGCGCGGAGACGCGGCGGCTGGGCTGGGGAAGCGCGGGGCGGAGCCGGCAAGCAGGAGGAGGAGGAGGAGGAGGAAGCGGCCCGGCGGGCGATTGCCTGCTGTCGACCTGCCCCTCCGAGCCGTCGCGTCACGCGGGGCTGGGTCTCGGAGCGCGGCGGCGGCGGCGGCCTCCCAGCTCAGCCGTGGCCAGCAAGCGAGGCGGGGGCCATGGAGCCCGGGCGGGATGCTCCTCGCCTGCCCGCGCCGCTGTGATCCTCGCCCGCCCCCGCCGCAGCCCGGCGGCCGAGGCGCAGCGCGGAGAGCGGCCCGCCATGGACGCGGCGTCTGCAGAGCCGCGGCCCCCGGGCGCGCTGGGACCGCTGGCGGCGCTCTGCTTGGGTGAGTCGAGGCCAGCCCGCTCCGGCGCGGAATTTGGGTCCCGGAGCTCTCGACTGGGGAAGGGGGGTCGTTCGGGGTGCCCGGGGGGGGGGAGGTAGGGGCATCCCAGGCGTGGGGCCGGCGGAGAGCAGCCCCCGGCCCCGGGCCGGTGGGGGCACCTGGTGGTGGGACCCGCAGGCGGGGGAAGCCGGGCAAGGGCGCATCCGGATCCCTGGCGCGCACTTGCCCACCCGCGTCCGCTCCATCTGGGCGCCCGGGAGCGCCTCCTGCGCAGGCAGAGCCGCAGATGCCCCGCGGGACATCCTAGGGCACTCCTAAGGTCACGCAAACCCTCCCTCCTCACTCCCCCCCCCAAAAAAATAACAGGAGCCCAGCAGGACCCAGAGTAGAGTAAACGGAAGGTGCAGCCAGCTTGGGAAGAAAAGCTTCGAGACGCTTTTGTGCAGGTAACTTGGATAGGATTTGCGCAGCTGGCAGGTCCCGAGTGGGAGAGCGGGGTTGTGCATGACTGCAGCTCCAGCAAGCACGCGTGTTTTCCTCGTGCAAGGGCACTGCGGGCTGAAGTGACATCAGCTTTGTTTGCTCGAGCGAAGGCGGGTGTGAGCATAGCTGCCACACCAGGGGTTGTGTTCCGCAGTCGGAGAGTGTGTGTCTGTGTGTGTGTGCCCTGTGGGTTTTTTTTTTTTTTTTTTTAAGGTGGGGTGGGTGGGGAGAGATGGTTTTTCTCACTCTGGAGCGTCTTTGGCTAAGTTGGTAGACAACAGTGAGGAAGGCAAGCCACGATTCCATTTCGCAACAAGTTTGGGCAGTTTCTCTTAGGGATGGCTTGATTTGTTGCGGGTGACATCATAGAAATTCTGTTGCTGCGTCCGGGACATTAAAAAAAAAAAAAGAGAGAGAGAGAGAGAACTTTTATTAATGTAATCCATTGAAAATTTCCAGATATGAATAATGCATAGAAAAAGCATCCTTTTTAAAAAAAGAAAAGAAGAAGAACTACATTTTAGAATAGATTTTTTGTTAGCTCAAAGGCAGGAAAAGCACTTATAAAGCCATTATGAGATAATAATGCAACTATAAAGTCGGTTACAAGCTCACCTGGGAAGCCCATTTAGTTCACTAGGGCTTATTGCTAAACAATCTGGACTGTAAGGCAAACATTAAGTTGTGACTCTGTCGCAGGACAGAAAAGGAATCTAATTTAATGATTTCCTGGGCCAGGAAGTCAAGTAAGGAGTCTGCAAAATTTCACAGCAGAAGCCAGAACATAGCAATAACTTTCTGGTCCTTACAATTATGACTCTTTGTGCAAACCTGTTCTTTGGTATCCCCTGGAATCTTCAATGTCTCTGCTAAATTTAAAAATTCTGGAACCCGTAATAAGAAATGCATTTTGCTCTCGAGATATATTTATTATACATAATAGTCTATTTCAGTGGTTCTCAACCTTTTTAATACCGCAAACCCCCCAACCGGTCGTAAGTCGAGGACTACTTAACTGATCGTAAGTCGAGGACTACTCAACTGGTGCAGCACCGTTTGCAGAGTGGGACTTTTGGCGGGCTCAGCAGGGCAGAGACAGCCTGGACAATTCCTATTGGCTTTTGAAAGCCAATAAAATTAGACTCTATTCAAGAGAGTCTATTCTATTGGCTTTCAAAAGCCAATAGAATAAAAGGGAGGAGCACAGCTAAGGAAAAGGGGGAAAAATATGGCGGACTGCGTTGTTTGGCGACCCCCGTGAAATGGTCGTTCGACCCCAAATGGGGTCCCGACCCACAGGTTGAGAACCACTGGTCTATTTGGTCTGATACTGATTTCAGAAAAGCTTCAATGTTATCTTCACAGGCTTTATGGTAGAGTTGCCTGAACATTTAACCAGGTTACTTCGTACCTGCTCATCTTTAGAGGATATAAGCGATGCACTGTGGATACTAATTATTTCAGCAATATCAATCGTGGATAGTGGTTGAGTAATATCGGGATATGATGTCCTTCGCTATATTTGTTGTTTTATTCTCTGCACTGTTTCCTGTGTGCTCCACTTCCTGTCTTCTCTCCTGCCAATTGCAGCCACACTTCTTTTTCCAGGAGTTTTGATAGAGAGAACTAGAGATAGTCTGCATAGCGTTAGCAACCTCAGATTTTGATTTATTGTAAGTTATCAACGATGCACTTAAGAGAAGGCTCTTTTTTTTAAACTAAATACTTCCTTTAGGATGAAGATGCATTAATGTGGATGAAATCTATAGATTTACTTCTTGGAAAGTGTGAGTAGGAAGAGTTAATTTGATTGACAGACTTCTTTGTAAGTTTCTCCCTTTCTCTGTGGGCAAACAGCTCCCAAATACAGTGTTGATTATCAGGTCCTTGATGCTGTCTGAGTTTAGTGGTTTTCTTGCAAGTCATTTCATTACCAAGCTAGCTAATATCATAGGTGTTGATTATCTTGTGGGCAGACAAATGGAAAGCCTAAAAAACATTTAGAAATGAGCCTTACCATTTATGCTTAATTTAGGGCAGTGGTCCACAAATATTTTGTTGGGTAGGAGTTGTATCTATCGGCACTTGCTGTTGTTAGACATTTAAAAATATTCATTGATTTGGCTTTGTGGATTTCCTGAAAGAGCCGTGGGGATCCACAGTTGTAGTAGAAGGACAGGCTGAGCCTGGAGGGCGGAGTCAAGTGAGTAATCAGCCTAGATCTTTAAGCTTGAATTCCATTGACTCTTATCTAGCCCCAGTTTAGTGCTGCCCATTACTTGACTAGATTCTTGTGAATGGGCATAGTAATAAATCAGCTTAATTGAAACTTAGCGTGTGGTCCTGATTCTTTGCCCATGACACCAGTCCATACTTTGAAAACCACTAATCTAGGATAGGATCCCAGTGGAAGTCATTGATACTGGATACAATTGGGAGCCTGGAGCTGGAGGAAATTGAAAGTGAGGTTGGGTGAGAATGTATAAATGTACAGATTTCTAGTTTTGGTGGATAAACAATGGGTGGGAAAAACAAAACAAAACACCAGGGCTGTAAGCAGCTGCCTCCCTTCCTCCTTTCCCCAGCTCCCTTTTTTTCTTGCTGCCATCAGAAGGCGTGCTATTCTATAAATAGAAGTAACATAAAAAGCCAGAGTCTTTGGGAATAGTGTGATGTGGTTTTAATGAAAGGTGGCACTGCTCTAGGCTGTTGCACCATGGCTGGATTTTAAAGGCCCTTTCAGGTCACTTCAAACATTCTGCAGAGCTTTGTTGGGCTTTTGCTGGGCCTGTTCAGGGGAGCAAACTCATTGTAGCTTCTTCAGGGAGACCTGGTTAAATAGCCGGTCTAGGTCACAGGAGTCCAGAGAGAGGGCACATGAGGTCCTGGGCATGTAGAATGGAGTGTTTTAAGAGAGCGTTTTTGCTTCGCCAGTGGGAATAAGGTTCCTGCGGAGATCTGGAGTCCTCCAGCCTGTTGTCATTGCAAAGGTTTTTCTCCCAAATCCTGGACTAGCCCGATTAGAAGCCCCCTCCTCTGGATGTGAGATAGCAGTCACAGAACAATCACAGAATAGCAGACTTGGAAGGGACCTCGGAGGTCATCTAGTCCAACCCCCTGCTCCATCAGGATGCCCTACATCAGCGATCGCGAACCTTTTAGAGACTGAGTGCCCAAACTGCAACCCAAAACCCACTTATGCATCGTCGAATGCCGGGTGGGCGTGGCCCATTGGGTGGGTGGTAACGGCAGTCTGGGTGGGATTAAAAAGTTCAATCAATCAATTCCAACTTTGCGAGATCCTTTTTTTTCCCCGCGACAAGTTGAAATTGATTGATTGAACCTTTTTTTTTTTTTTGCACACAGTGGCGGAGGCCTAAAGCGAAAAGGTTTTATAAAACCCAGCTGAAGGCCTAGGACTGGGGCGACGGCGTGCGTGCCCACAGAGAGGGCTCTGAGTGCCGCCTCTGGCACCCGTGCCATAGGTTGGCCACAACTGCCCTATACCGTACCATTTCAGACAAGTGGCTGTCTAGTCTCTTCTTAAAGACCTCCAGTGATGGAGCACCCACAACTTCTGTCGGCAAGTTGTTCCACTGGTTAATTGTTCTCACTTTCAGGAAATTTCTCCTTCATTCTCTCCGTGACCCCTTGTTTCTTGTCTTGCCTTCTAGGGCTTTGAAAAATAGTTTGACCCCCTCTTCTTTGTGGCAGCCCCTCAAATATTGGAACATTGCTATCATGCCACCCTTTTTTTTCACTAGACTAGACCTGCCCAATTCCTGCAACTGTTCATATGTTGTAGCCTCCAGCACCCTAATCCTTTTTGTGGCTCTTCTCTGCACTTAAAACATCTTCCAACTTCCAGGTTCTCTATCTTCTTTCTCTTCCTTTTGTTGGCTTGGTTGATGGTTGTTTCCTGGCCTTATATTCGCTGATGTATCCTGAGCTGCCTAGAGTCGTTTGGAGTCAGGACCCATCAAGTCAAGTAAAAGGACAACATTGTGACATGTTGTCATTGTGGCTTGTACCGACAGCCGAGTCTGAGTCTTCTGGAGTTGTCCTTGGGATACTGCACATGTCTCCTGCTAAGTTGCCATTTGCATAGGCAGGAACTTTTTTTTTTTTTTACAAATTTTATTTATAATACAGTTAAAAACAAACAAGCATTGGATTTAATGTGACATTCCAGTATATACATTCTTATCAGATTATTCCACTTTTTACAATCAATTCTTCATCTCTACATATACATCTAAGTTTTATATACAATACTTGTTCTAAAATAACATATATTTCTATCTTAACATTCATCTTTAATCCCGACCGTCCTCTTCAAATTCCTCCAGCGGTAAAATTTATCCCAGGTTTCATAATAAACTGATCCACATTTGTCTTTTAATATCATTGTGAGCCTGTCCATTTCCACACATGCTAATATTTTATGTATGAACTCTTCCTCTGTGGGAATTTCCTTGCTCTTCCATTGTTGCGCTAAAGCAGCGGTTCTCAACCTATGGGTCGCGACCCCATTTGGGGTCGATCGACCATTTTTCGGGGGTCGCCAAAGGCGGCGATCCGCCATTTTCTCCCCTCCAGGGGCGCCGCCGCGCATGCGCACCATGCATGGGGGGCGCCGCGCATGCGCGCCGCGCATGGGGGCACCGCCGCACATGCGCGCCGCACATGGGGTGCCACCGCACATGCACACCGCATCGCGCATGCGCATAATGTTTGTGTGACGGGGGTCGCCGTCACACAAACGTTGAGAACCGCTGCGCTAAAGCAAGCCTAGCTGCAGTCAGGATGTGTAGCAGCAGGTAGATTGTTCCCTTGTCATATTTTTCTGTCGTTATTCCCAACAAGAAGGGTTCAGGTTTAACTCTTAAGTCCAGTGTTAATATATCCCTCAACCAGTTTCGTGTCCTGTTCCAATACTCACGAGTCTTTGGGCATTCCCACCACATATGATAGTATGAACCTATTGCTGTTTTACATTTCCAGCATAGGGGTGAGCTACCATTTGCATAGGCAGGAACTTTTGACTAAGTTGCATTAAACTGGTCTGCATAACATGTTGAGCTACAAATCTCACATTATACATTGCATTACAAATGACCACTGTGCTACCAATGAGCTAAAGCAGGGGTCTCCAGCCTTGGCAACTGTACCACTTGTGGACTTTGCTGGCTAAGGAATTCTGGGAGTTGAAATCCACAAGTCGTAAAGTAGCCAAGGTTGGAGAACCCCTGAGCTAAAGTGTTAGCAGGAAAGAATTAGAAGTCTCTTGGAGAAGACCAAAGCTGGGAGATGCTAGGAAGTGTCTAAAAAGGTTGGGGAAGTCAGAGAGAGAAAAGCAGAGTTTAAAAGTCACAATGTTTGCAGAGGCGATGGAGATGCAGCAGGCACCAGGGCAGGAGACAACTTCCACCCATCTTAAAGTTGCCAAGTTTGAAAAACGCTGGTGAAATAGGTTATATCAAGGGAGCCAAATGCAGCTTATAAAGACCACAATTAAGCAAATCCTACTTCATCAGGGTTAACACTTCCTTGGAATAGATCAGGGTTCTCCAAACTTGGCAACTTTAAGACTTGTGGACTTCAGCTCCCAGAATTCCTCAGCCAGCCAAAATCCTAATTTTTTTCCCCACAAGACTTCCCACTTCACAAAACTTTGCAGGTGTATGCCTCATTCTTCTTACTCATCATTCTTCTACTTCAGACACCATGAAAAGCTAAGCCCAAGCAGGCTTGTAAACGACATTTTCAAAATACATCCAATATAGGTATGTTTTTAATCCATATCTTACTGTAAATGCCATCATCGTAACGTCTAATTCATGTTTTTTTGGATTTTCAAAACAGTGAATCTCTTCCTGACTGGGAAAATTGAGACTGCGGTCCCTTCCTTAGGTAAGATAAATTTCCTTTTAATTACAATTTAACTTTCATAGTCTCCTTGGTGACTCATAAACCATTCCCGGATAAGTGTCCTGTTAAGAAAAAAATGGTCCCTTTCACAATATGTGAAAATAGGGTGATGCTTTTAATATTGCATAAAAGTATTGATCAAAAAATAATGCTGAGATGTTCTCTCTAGGTCAGGACTTCCTTAACAATTCACTCATCAGATGGTCAATAGCATCTCCTTACTCTGTCTGGGGTCCAGAAACAACATCAGGACAACAGATTTTAGAACTACCTCGCCTCTAAAACTAATTTTGGAAAGTAAAATGTCTGTCAGTTTAGATTTAGAAGAAGATGGGGGGGGAATCAATTACTTCTCAGGACCAACTGATCTTTGTTTGTTTTTTTAATGTACTTAGTTTTGCTTCTGAATTCTGCTTTGACGATGAGGAACTCTTTTAACCAGTTTTGCATATCATGTTTATTTCTTTGGCTCGCTTTGGGCAAAATCCTTTCCTTTTGGCAGACTTATTTAGGCTATTGATCCTCTCCTAGAAAAAAAAAAGCCTATCCCAGCGCATTTCAGCCGGGCAAGCAAAGAGTTTAGTAAAGCAGAAGGAACAGGAATTGATCAAGGCAAGATCAACCTGGCGATATTTTTCTCTGGAAGGACAAACGCTGCGGAGGTAGTTAACTCTCTGTTTCTGATGCTACCTTTCATAGCCGCTTGTAGTGGAAAACCAGAGCAGCATACAGAACGGCGAGGGGTCCTCTATAGCCCTTCCTGGCCACTCAACTATCTTCCAGCTATGAACTGCAGCTGGTACATCCAAGGAGACCGTGGCGATGTCATAACTATTAGGTAGGTGGTGTGATTTTTTATTTTTTTTTAAAAATGTATTTCCTTGTTGAATTTCAGGCGTAGTTGAGGTTTGCCTGTCATGGAGGTTTCTTCTGCAGTGCTTTTCCTGGAGTTAAAAATGTGGTTTTAGCGTCAGATGGGCTACATGATCAAAGTTAGGCTGAGCGAGAAGCAGGAACCGTGCTCACACATCGCACTAAGCTATGGTCTGCTTTAAGCATGGTTTGATTGACCTGGTTGCGTGTTACAGGTAGTCCTTGACTCAATGATCACAGCTGAACCCCAAAATTTCCATTGCTAAGTGAGACAGTCATTAGGTGAAATTTTGCCCCATTTTACGACCTTCGTGGCCACAGGTGTTAAGTGACTCACTGCAGCTGTTAGGTTAGTAACACAGTTGTAAAGTAAATCTGGCTTCCCCATTGGCTGCTTGCCAAAGGGGATCACATGACCCGGGGATGCCGCAACCGTCATAAATACATGCCAGTTGCCGAGTATCTGAATTTTGATCACGTGATCACGGGGATGCAGCAACGATCGTAAGTGTGAAAAATGGTCCATAAATCCCTTTTTGCAGTGCCATTGTAACTTTGAACGGTCACTAAACAAATGGTTATTAAGTCAAGGACTACCTGTACTGTATAACTTGTGTTCATGCAACTGGCTGCACTTAAAGAAGTCAACAAAATTCTGAGCTAAGATGGGGCTGATTTCACATCCTGAGCCACAAAGTACACAGCCTTTTGTAGCCCGCTTTAGTGTGTTGAGACAACCTAGCTAGTAAATAGCTTGTCCTAAAATGGCCAAAACAATAACCCAGGATTAAATATTTTGTATCAGAAGGTGTAAGAATAAGAATGCATTTGATTAAACAAACTATTTGTTGATAGAACTACAGACATTGTTACACAGTTGTAACACCTCAATTCAACAGACCCCAATTTAGGCCCAACTTCAAAGACCTCCCACCAAAATAATGAACAAGCATCCAAAATAATCTGGAAGTTAATTATGTCAGCCAATTATACCACTGAGTAATAGCAATAGCAATAGCACTTAGATTTATATACCGCTTCATGGCGCTCTCTAAGCGGCTTACAGACTCAGCATATTGCCCCCTCAACAATCTGGGTCCTTATTTTACTGACCTCGGGAGGTGAAAGGGCTGAGTCAAGTTTGAGTTGGTCAGGATCGAACTGCCGGCAGGTGGCAGTCAGCAAAAATATCCTGCAGTACTGCATTCTAACCACTGCGCCACCACGGAAAATGAAACACATCACTCATAGCAGCTTGTGCCTGTTTGGCTTTTGGTGCCATTGACAAAATTGGTGTGAATGATGTCACGTGGTGTAATGCACATTCAAGAGTCATGGAGGCCCTTTCCCTCCACCTGGTTTAATGAATGAACGTTTCACTCTGCCTTCATTTCCACAAACAAAAGGCACCTTGTTTGTAGCTCCTGAGCTACAGCTTATAAAAATGCCTTTGCCGGTTAGTCGTTGTTGTTTTCTTTGTTACAAGCTGTCAGGCTCCCTCTGGCTGAATCAGGTAAAAATAACAAGAATTAAATTCTTTAGATATTAACAAAAATAAAATACAGATAGTCCTCAACTTACGACAGTTCGCTTAAGCCCCGCTCAGAGTTACAGTTGAAGCTGAAAAAAAGTGCCTTGTGACGGGTGTCCCTCACACTTATGACAGGATCCTGGCAGGGTTCTCCTCCCCCCTTGCCCCCCAAAACCCAACAAAATACACATTTCTGAAGTTCTTGAGAAGGTCAGGAGGCCCAGTCCCATCCCTTCCAAAGGTCACCAATCTCTGATGGAATGCAAGATGTGAACCAGGTTGCTTTTCCTTCATTTGTATGTCTTCTTTTTTTTTTTCTCCATCTTTTTGTCTTGGTAGTTTTAAGAACTTTGATGTGGAGGACTCTCCCAAATGTTCCATAGACTGGTTGATGATGGGTCCTTCTTCCAAAGGGGAGGAATACAAAGTCTGTGGATCTTTTATCCCTCCTTCGTTCATCTCTGCCAGGGACCACATCTGGATCTTTTTCCACTCAGATCCATCAAGTTCAGGGCAGTCTCAGGGATTCCGCCTTTCTTACATTCGAGGTAAAATCTCCTCTGTTGATTCGTTCCATTTCTGGCTATCGTGTCTGTGGGAGAGATTAATTCCATTTCACCCTTGCAAGGCTACTGGGAAGGCTTTCCGATTAAGAGAGGACAGTGAACTGGAATAAGCTAACGTGCCTTAGAGTAAACCAGAAATAAACTCACATCTCTTGGAGCCATGTCCAACACACAATTCTCACTGCGAAGTGTGTGTGTCTTGATTTTGGCTCAGCATGTTGCATGAATATAAACGACCACAAAGGTTTGCAGACCAGGTTTATGGCATCCTCCATTATATGAACTCAACTCATCATTTTTGTTCAACAAATATCGACCGACCATGGCTTAATGTGATGTGTGAACCCAGCCCTCATCCTGGCTTCTTTCGGGCCTTTTGTCAAGTCCTGTGGGTGACGTCCTGTAAAACAAAGCTATAAAGTGATTTATGAGTAGAACGTTCTGCAAGCTAAGAGATAGAACTGAGCTGCATGGAGCAAGTTGGAAGCTGAAGGTTTTGCTTGCCAAGATAGAGTCTCACTGTTGTGTCATGTTGCTGTGTTTGTGAGACTGACCCTCGTTTGTCTCTTCACAAGGATGCTGTTAGTGGAGAGATCAGCAAACAATATTGGGCCATAGTTTAGTTGTGAAAGTTTTAAACAAATGAAGGAAGGCAACAGCAAACTTGTTTTGTTGGCAAGAAACCTACTTAGATGTGTCTATCAAGCATTTAGTTCAGGTGAAACTTTACCTTTAATATCAGGACAGCAACAAGAGGTCACTCCATATTTACACTCCATGTAGTCCATACACCTTATAGCTTTAATCCCACTTTAGGCATGACAACCAGTTGGGTGACTTTGGGCCAGTCACCAGGAGACTGTGAGTTCTAGTCGTGCCTTAGGCATGAAAACCAGCTGGTTGAGTTTGGGCCAATCACCAGGAGATTGGGAGTTCTAGTCCCGCCTTAGGCATGAAAGCCATCTGGTTGAGTTTGGGCCAATCACCAGGAGACTGGGAGTTTTAGTCCCGCCTTAGGCATGAAAACGCACAGGGCGGTTGTTGTGGAGAAAATAGGAGGACGGTGCATTAAGTACGTTCTTTGCCTTGAGTTACTTACGAAGTAAAAAAAAAAGGCAGGATAAGAATCTAATACATAGATAAATAACTAACGCTTGCAGCAGACGTTTCTAACTCTTCTCCCTTACTTTGCAGGAAGGATTGGCCAAGCCAGCTGCCAGTCGGATGAATTCCACTGTTTCAATGGCAAATGCATCCCCACCACTTGGAAATGCAATTCCATGGACGAATGTGGCGATAATTCTGACGAGAAAAACTGCAGCCTCCCCCCATCGGAGCCCCAGTCCAACATCTGCCCTTCGGGGACGTTCCAGTGCAACTTCGCCCATTCCACCAAGTGCTTGCTGAACGAGCTGAAATGCAACACCGTGAAGGACTGCATTGATGGCTCCGACGAAGAGAATTGTCCCAATCTGTCCTGCGGCAATAAGCTGAGCAATTTCTACGGGTCGTTTGCGTCGCCAGATTTGTTCCGCCTGGACCGGAGTCGGGCCGATCTCTGTTGCACGTGGCAGGTGGACACCCAAGATAACCGCCACGTCCTTCTGCAGCTCAGCTTGCAGCTGGGCTACAAAGATTACGTGAAGGTGTACGATGGCTTAGAGGAGAAAGCGGACAGGCTGATAGAGAAGCTCTCATATCGGAATAACAAGCACTCGGTCAGCCTAGAGTCCTCCAAGGGGCAGATGACCATCTTGTACTACGCCTGGTCGAAAAGCACCGGCCACGGGTTCAACGCAACGTACCAGGTCAAAGGGTATTGCCTTCCATGGGAGCACCCGTGCGGGGACGATGAGGAGTGTTACTCTGATAAGCAGCACTGCGACGGGTGGTGGCATTGCGCCAACGGCAAGGACGAGGAGAATTGTCCAGCTTGTCAGAAGAACGAGTACCCCTGCGAGGGGAACAGCGGCTTGTGCTACTCCTTGCTCGACCGGTGCAACAACCAGAAGAACTGCCCCAACGGGTCGGATGAGAAGAACTGTTTTGTCTGCCAGCCGGGGAACTTCCACTGCGGCACCAACCTCTGCATTTTTGAGACCTGGCGTTGTGACGGGCAGGAGGATTGCCAGGATGGCAGCGATGAGCACAACTGCTTGGTGATCGTGCCCCGGAAGGTCATCACGGCTGCGCTGATCGGGAGCCTGGTCTGTGGGCTGTTGTTGGTGATCGCCTTGGGTTGCGCCTTCAAGCTCTACTCACTGAGGAGCAGAGAATACCGGTGAGATGATGCTGTTAGGACTGTTTTTATGGGGGAGAGAAGGAGGAGGAGGAGGAGAAGGAGGAGGAGGCCAAATCTTGAAAAATGAAATACAGGCAGTCCTCAACTTGTTTAGTGATCATTGGAAGTTACAGTGGAACTGAAAAAAAGGGACTTATGACCATTTTTCACACTTATGACCGTTGCAGCATCCTCCATGGTCATGTGATCAAAATGGGCAACCGGCATGTATTTATGAGCTTTGCAGTATCTTGGGGGATCACATGATCACCATTTGTAACCTTCCCAGCCGGCTTCTGACAAGCAAAGTCAGTGGGGGAAGCCAGGTTCCCTTTATGACCACGTGATCCACTTAACAACTGCAGTGATTCACTTAACAACCATGGCCCCCCAAAAAGGGGGATAAAATGGAGCTGTGAATCACTTAAGAACTACCTTGCTTAGCAGTGGAAATGTTGGGCTCAATTTTGCTGGTGGGTTAGGGTTAGGGTTGCTCACTAAGTGATTTCGTTGTAAGTCAAGGACTGCCTGTAGATGCAAAGAAGGAGGAAGTGACCCACCCTGTCCGCACAGATATTACCCAGTCAGTTTCTCTCCTCTTTCTCTCATTCCTCTCTTGATCCTGATTCCAGGGCCTTCGAAACCCAGATGACTCGCCTGGAGGCAGAGTTTGTAAGGCGTGAAGCTCCTCCTTCTTATGGACAACTGATTGCACAAGGCCTCATTCCCCCAGTGGAAGACTTCCCCGTTTATAATGCATCACAGGTAAGAGATTCTCTCTGGAGCCATCTCCCCAGTCCTGGCGATGCGAGTCAAGAGTGAAATGGATACTACCTTCCTTTTCTAACCATAGAGTCATGGTTAGAAGTCTAAAAGATGCTTCTGACTTGTCCCAAAGGTGTTTTTTCAGGAGGCAACTGGACTCTTTTGGTTTTCCATTCTCATCCAAGAAGCTTCTTCAGCTCTGACCGGATGGTGGGGAATGGAAGGGTTTATACTCCATTCCCCACCATCCAGTCAGAGCTGAGAAGCTTCTTGGATGAGAAGTGAAATGTCTTCAAAGAAAAACAAGAAAGTCCAGTTGCTGCCTAAAAAAAACACCTTTGGAGCAACCATGACCTGGCTGATGGAGAATCTCCACAGACCTGCTTCTTACTTGAAACGTTTTTCCAGTGTGATTCTCCTCCGAGCTACGTTCTAAGTTTGGCTTGCTTGCTTTAGGTCAGGGGTAGGCAACCTTGGCTCTTTTATGACTGGTGGACTTCAACTCCCAGAATTCCTGAGCCGGCATAGCTCAGCATGGAAGCCTCTCCCTTTCTCCTCAGCATGGCTGGCTGAAGAATTCTAGGAGTTGAAGTCCACCAGTCATAAAAGAGCCAAGGTTGCCTACCCCTGGTTTAGGTGAAGCATGTGCTGTAAGAACCCAACTTTGTGGTATGTGGTATGCTTGGTAATTTGTCCCTCAAGTGAGAACTCTGCATTGATTAATTTGATGATTCCTTGATTTGTTTTCTTGGCGGTCCAAAGTAAAGGTAGTCCTTGACTTACAATCCTTCGTTTAGTGACCGTTCAAAGTTACAACGGCACTGAAAAAAGTGACTTATGACCATTTTTCACACTTAAACCCTTGCAGCACCCCTAGGGTCACATGATCAAAATTCAGATACTTGGCAACTGTCTCATATTTATGACGGCTGCGGTGTCCTGGGGTCACGTCATCCCCTTTTGTGACCTTCTCACAAGCAAAGTTAATGCGGAAGCCGGATTCACTTAACAACCTGGTGACTGACTTGACAGCTACAACGATTCACTTAACAACTGTGACAAGGAAGGTGATAAAATGGGGCAAAACTCACTTAGCAACTGCCTCGCTTTGCCACAGAAATGTCGGGCTCAGTTGTGGCCGTACGTCGAAGCCTGTCTGTAAGTCAGATGCTTGCAAGCCTTTAGAGCAGCGGTGGGGAACGACGGTCCCCTTTATGACGTGTGGACTTCAACTCCCAGAATTCCTCAGCCAGCCATCGCTGGCTGAGGAATTCTGGGAGTTGAAGTCCACAATTCATAAAGGGGACTGTCGTTCCCCACCTCTGTCTTGAAGTTTTGATGACACTCACCACGGGAAATATGCGGGTTATTTATCTTTTCAGGCTTCCATGCTGCAGAACATCCGAACGGCCATGAGGCGGCAAATGAGGCGCCATTCCTCAAGGCGCAGCTCTTCTCGCCAGCGTTTGGGCAGACTCTGGAACAGATTCTTTCACAGGCCGCGAGCGAGAGGAGGCCAGGTTCCGCTTTTGAATCCTGCCCGTACCTCCCAGACGGTCCTGGGGGACGGGATCCTCAACTGTACAGACGGAATGCCTGCCGAGAGTCTCCCCGCTACTCCTGAAAACGCTTGTGGCCCACCTGGAGGGGTGTCCGAACCCGGGAACAGCCCCTTGGCCTTGGAGGCAGAAGCAGCAGAAGGCCCGTCCGCTGGGGAGAGTGTGCCAAGCCCTTTCCCAGCTGCTCTGCCGGACGCTGAGAGCGAGCACAGCTGCAAGGCCGAAGAAGCCCCCGAGGGCAGACTCGCACAAGCCGGCAAGGCAGATTCAGGAAGAACTTTTAGGGACCCCTTGCTGGAAAGAGTGACAGAAATTCATCAACGGGGCAGGCTGGCATGTGGCAGGACAGCTGGAGAGGGTAGACCATCTCAGCGGGATCAGCCGCTGAGGGAAGAGCCGCATCACCCAATGCCCTTAAAAAACTGGGAGTCTGGGTACCCTGAAGGCCACGGAGCCGTCCCTTTTTGGGAGGAACGCCAGCCCAGTGGTGACCCGCACTCGTGTCACGAAGAACCTTTCGGCATTCACCTGACTTGTTGCCATTCCATGCAAGTGCCAATAGCCCCCTCCCCTCTCCCTGCCCCTGAAGTCAGTCCCAGTGATGACGAGTCTTTGCTGGTGTGCTAAAGGGTCATGTTGACACGCAGAAGCCCACCATAATCTTGTGTGCACCATGACCAGACAAATAGCGCAGGTCCCATAACCCACATCCTAACTGCAGTGACACCATGGTGCACGTCACCTCGCTAGCTCCACCATGCGCGTGCCGCGGGAGGATACCCCACCCCACCTACACCTCCCCCTCTCCTTTGTCTCTTTCTTTACAGCATGTCTATCTTAGCGAAGAATAGCTTACAGACAGCTAGGGAGAAAGAGTGTTCATAGTCTCTCTCTCTCTCTCTCTCTCTCTCTTCTCCTCGTTCAGTTCCATGATGCTCTGAGGATAGATACAACGGTTATCTGCCTCTAAAAAATAAGGAGGATGACAAGAGGTAGGCTAGATCTGTTACCAAAGCAACGAGAGAAGAAACATGGCTTGAGTCCAAAGCAAGCAGGAAGTATGCAGAACCGTTTCAGACACTTTCCTAATTCTCCTGGGTATAAGAAGGGGGCAGGGAAGGTCCAGCAGAATCAGACTTGCAAAGTTCCGTTACTATAGCCAGTCTCAATAAAAAAATAGTTTTAGCGTTCCCATGGAGTTGACTCCTTCTCTGGACTACCGGATGGGTTTGACGCTGCCTGGGTGGCTTCATGTGATGTGCAAAAAGCTATTCAGACCATTGCTTGGGTTTCGATGGAGTACTATGGGTGAATCAGTTGTGATTTATTCAATAGGCCATGCTTAAGCCATGGCTGAAGGTCAGCTTTTCAGTATTAAGAGCTGGAAGCTTGACAACCCCAGCCTTGCCCCTCTTGGATCATTTGACTGCGTATTTGTGGCTAATGAGTGGGATATGCACAAAGTTTACTGAGGTTGCCCTTTTGCCCCTTGGTTGCTTTGAATGCAAGGCTGGATATGATACCCTCGAATAAGTAAGCATATCCATAAGTAAAGAGAAGCCACACATGGCCCACGTTGACGTGTTTCTTGCTTCCAAGAAAAAGGTCACTCAAGTCTCTCTTTTTTCTAGATCATCAGAACTTGAACAGTGTCTTGCTGGATTGGACCCCTGGTCCATCTAGTTCAACAGTCTGTTGTCACATTGACCAGCCAATTGCCCAGGAAAGTCCACTAATCTCCTAGCACAGTGATGGCGAACCTTTTAGAGACCGAGTGCCCAAACTGCAAACTAAAACCCACTTATTTATCGCAAAGTGCCAGGGCTGCATCAGCAGTGTGGTGCCCTCAGGGGCGTGGCCCACCGGGTGGGCGTGGCTGCAGTGGTCACGGAAGACTGGGTGAGCGTGGCTGGGGCCAGGGTGGCGGGGGCCAATCCCTCGCCATCTCCGGGGCATCCCGGGGGGGCCAACGCCATTTGCTCACTCACTTCCTGCCCTGTCGTTTCCAAATGCCACGTGCTCGCTACTCAATCTCTGCTGGGGCAATGGCGCGTGTGCCCACAGAGAGGGCTCTTGAGTGCTGCCTCTGGCACGCGTGCCATAGGTTCGCCACCACTGTCCTAGCAGATGGTCTTCAGAGGTAGCTCCACTGCTATCAAGGCTAATAGCTATTGATCTTCAACACTTCCATGAATTGGTCCAACCGTTTTTTGAAGCCACCCAAGCATCACCTCTTCTGCCAGTTGTTGCAATTCTTCCACTATTTTCATTATCGGTGTGACTTCCTTGTCCCTTGACTTCCCAATCTGCACATGCTCTCCAGGGAAAGAAGTCCCTCAGAGTGATTCCCTCTGCAGGTTCACGGAAGTAAACCCAACCCAACCCAGCTCCTCTGCCTTTGAGTGTTAAGTTGTGGGTGCAAATTGAAACTACTGCTATGGAGTTGATCCTCCTCTACCCTCTTTTGTTTGTCCCTGTCTGTAAAATGGGTCCCCTCTGCTCCTATAGATGTGAGCTTTTCTACGATCTGTTCAGAAGCTGTAGGAGAGATGACTGGCTGACAGGGCTAACGCAGGGCCTGGGCTGCTATTACTGGGACTGCTTAAGTGAAAATTCCAATTATTGCCAATTCGTAATATTGGTCTACACTGGGTAAAATGTGTGATGGGAAACCAAGCCCTTGGAGCTGCACTTCTTTTATTTCTTAAAAAAATAAATAAAAATAAAGCTTCACCCGCTCGTTTGTTTGTTCCTTTCATGACAAGAAGTCAAGAAATGTTCAAGACTATCAATGGTTCTGTCTGGTACATAAACAGAAGATTGTTTTATTGGCTGCTAGGCCACTAGAATAACAAGCCAACTTTTTGAGATAGTTAAGTCGGATCATAAGTCACATTCAGTAGCAATTGCAGTGTTGGGTATGATGCTTCAATTTTTCAATTTTGCTATTTTAATCTTGTATCCCCTTCTCTGATTTTTTGAGAAGAGGCCAATTTAAAATGTTGAGAAGGTTTAACACATTTCTGGTTTTGCCTTTTGAGTTCTGTGAACTGTCTTAATGAGGTTTTTCTGGTGTTCATCAGAGAAAAACTCAGCAAATGCAAGGATGCTGGTGTTTAAATTGTTTATCCTGTAAATTTGTGCTCTCTCTCTTTTTCATGCACTAATGGACAGTTGCAAACTGTCAACTTTTCCCTTCTTCCCCAAGGTACAAAATTGGAGGCTTCATAGCCTGTAAAATCCTTGGATGCCAACCCCCCCCCCCCCAGGGATCTTCAAAAGCAATTCTGAATTAAAAGATGGAGAAAATAACTACACAAAAGGAGAAAAGCAGTTGTGGGAATCAGCCGGATCACACCACTTTGGCAGAACGGGTAGCTAATTTTTTATTGCCCAGGCCCAGAACGGACTTCCAGAAGCAGCATCCGGTTGTTCACATATTTGAATCCCACCACTGCAGAAAAGGTTTAGTAATGTTTTTCAGGTACCTGGATATATTGTACAATTTTGCATGGCGATATGGGCATATCATGCCGTGATGATGGTAATTTACAAACTCTGTAATCCTTCTCTTCTTTAGACTAGGCATACCCAGTTCTTGCAATCATTCATCGTATGGTTTAGCCTCCAGCCCCTTCATCATCTTTGTTGCTCTTCTCTGCGCTCTTTCTAAAGTCCCAACTTCTTTTTTTTATCATGGTGGTACAATTGGACACAGTATTCCAAGTGTGGCCTCACTAGTGCAACGCGGCACTCTGTACTGTGGTATGAAGTACTGCAGTGGTTCTCAACCTGTGGTCCATAGAACGGGGGGGGGGGCTTTCTAATCACAGGGGGTCCCCAAAGGCTTGAAGAAATGTTAGTTTAAATCTTGAGTTACGTCTTGGGGGTCCGTGGCCACAAAAGGTATTTAAAGGGGGTCCACGGTGGAAAAAACGTTGAAAACCACTGAGGTACAAAGCAGTAACAACCAGCCACAGCGTTGCCTTAAAGATGTGTTTGATTTTCAGAGGCAGAATAAGAAGAGAGGTCCTCCATTTGAAACTTGGCAGAAGCTTTACAACAGCGTTTATGAGTTTCATAACAGGTGGTTGGTAGCAATATTTTTTATACCCGGTAATCTCAACTTGCACGCAAAATGCATCACGAAAAACAACCCACTAGCTCATTTTATTTTTATTTTCCTCCTTTTTTTGGGGAAAAAAAAGAGCTAAATACATTTAGGTGTCTCCTAGAGTTGTCCAAATGACGGTCCTCATTTCTTACAAAAAAAAAAAAAAATCCCAAAAAAGCCAAATCAAGGTTCTTTCCTCCCCCAGTGGAAAAAAAATGCCATAATGTAAACAAAATCTACATTATGTAAAAAGTATAATTGTTTTTTTTAAGGTCTTTTGCCTTCTTGAGAGGGATAATCGGTGATAGGTAGATCGTCTTCAGGAGATTCCTTCTGAGGGTAGACAACAAAACAGATCTTCTGACCCCAGTGGGTTAAAGATTCTGAAAAAAAGATCAAAGAGATAGGTTGTCATTCTATTTTTGAGACTAGAGTGGGCATTATTAACTGGGAAGGCATTTGAACTCAACAGAGGAATAACACAATAACAGTTGAAAGGGACCTTGGAGGTCTTCTAGTCCAGCTCCCTGCTTAGGCAGGAAACCTTATAATATTGCAGACAAATGGCTGTCCAGTCTCTTCTTAATAGCCTCCAGTGATGGAGCACCCCAACTTCTGGAGGCAGGTTGTTCCACTGATTAATTGTCCTCACTGTTAGGAAATTTCTCCTTAGTTCTAGGTTGCTTCTCTGCTTAATAAGTTTCCATCCATTGCTTCTTGTCCTGCCTTCTGGTGCTTTGGAGAATAGCTTGACTCCCTCTTCTTTGGGGCAGGCCCTCAAATATTGGAACACTGCTATAATGACACCCCTAGTCCTTCTTTTCAACATCTGCTTTGCATACAGAGGATCCAAGAATTCAGTCCCATGCCTAAAATGTAAGATTAGACATTTGGGCCTGGCCCAAATTTTAATCCAGCATTTTGTTTCTCCCAGATTGCTCTGGATTATGCAAGAAATGGAGACCTCTCTCTCTTGCACCAATCTTCTCAAAACTAGCTTTGGGACCGATGTTGCCACAACGTGAACATGAACGTTGAAGGCCCATAAGTCTTAATAAGCAGGTCCTTCATCAATTTAGAAACTTCTCTGATTAGGATAATCAGGTGATGAGATGGCTCTTCCCTTTCTGACCTTGTCTAAGGCAGATTTCTGCACACCTGTAATAGTAGTCATTCGAGGAGCTACCTGGGCAACCAACCTTGAGTTCATGAGTGGATTATCTTTTATTTATTTATTTATGAGACTTATCTACAGCTTTAAGTGCGAGCACTCTCTAAGCGGTGTACACCAATAAGCAATGTATATATATATATATTTACATTGCCCCCAACAATCTGGGTCCTCATTTTACCTACCCCGGAAGGATGGAAGGCTGAGTCAACCTTGAGCCGGTGAGATTTGAACCGCTGACCTGCTGAACACATTCAGCTAAAGTGGCCTGCAGGACTGCACCCTAACTGCTGCGCCACCTCGGCTCTTGTAATCAATAGGTCTACTGGATGCTGCCTCCAAGGCTGTTTTCTTTTTTTTTTTTTCTTACCTGTTATTCTATTTACACACTTTGGTTTGTTTTTCCAGTACACTCCAAGAAAAAACACTGGCACTCCAGTTAAGATGATAACCAGTCCAATGCCACAGACCACTGGCTCAGAATAAAAACTGAAGATTAAGAGAAAGGCCCAAAAGATCAGGTAAGTGATTGGAACCAGAAGATTTACCTAAGAGGAAAGAAAATATTGGAAGGGTACAGAGAGTTGTTGTTTCTGCCCTAATTCCCTTGGTGCTGATAGACACCATTGGACCATCACTATGGACTCAGCTAGCCCAGTGGTTCTTAACCTTTTTGAACGAATCGCCCCCTTGAGCCAACGAGGAAGTTGTCATCGCCCCCCCCTCCCCCAACCTAACCTCTCAATCACAACATAGGAAATAATTCTTCAATTTATGCAAATGCTTTTTTTTGTTTTCTTTAAAATTGTCATCAGGACATATCGATGCAAATAATTTATTTCCAGTCTTTTCCCCATATCTCCCATATTCTGGCCAATGGCATGCCACTGTATGGGTAGAGGCTGCTGTGCAACGCGCATGAAGATAAGCGATGCGTCTTCACATGTGTACGGCGTTCTGTACTGAAGCTAGCTGGAGGGACATTTGAAAACACAGTTCAATCCACGAATAGAGATCATCTGATGTTTTTGTACGACAGATATACAGCGATTCACTGTGCGAAAAAATCTCAAAAGTGTCCCCAAAACTTCTCGTTCCATCGCCCCCATATTGCCCCCTTTTCGTTCTTTCACCCCCACGTCGCCCCTTTTCATTCCATCGCCCCCTTGAAAAACAAAATCGCCCCCTGGGGGGCAATATCGCCCAGGTTAAGAACCACTGAGCTAGATCACCAGGCAAATCCAAAGGCCACACCACTAGACAACACCCTACCCCACATTGATACCCTTGGCCAACGTGGCCACAAGGATGTAGATCTGGAGATGATGGAGTCTGTAGTCCTACTCATAAAGGTCACCAGGATCAGGAACGCAAGCTCATTTCTGTTTTTTCTTAATTCCTGAGCATACCTAACAATCTGGCAGGTACAAGCTGGAGTAATTTGACCTCAGAGCTTCCAGGCTGTTTAACGAGTGATGGTTATAAACGTGAGAATCAGTGGTAAGTTGTTGTTTTTTTTCAATGCCGTGCTAACTTCAAACGGTCGCTAAATGAATGCTCGTAAGTCGAGGGCAAGGAGCAGAAGAGGAATCAGACTGCCCCGCTATTTTTCACCTTGATGGGTCTGAAGATCTGAGGCTTCTTCCATCGTAGCACAAGCAGGCCTATGATTGTCACTCCGTAGCAGAGGTAGTTGATGAAGGACACATAGTTAATTAAGGTGTAGGTGTCTCCAACCAGCATGATGACCACAGTAGCCAGGCACTGGGCAGGGAGAGAAAAAGGAGGGGGGGTGTTCTTTAAAGGGAGAATTTCTGGAAAGAAAACGAAGGCAAAAACTTTCTCAAGTTAAAAATGCAGACCTCAAAGGATTGGGTGCACGATAAAAGGACTAGGAGAAGCTCACCCATTCAAATAGCTTAAGCCAGGGGTTTCCAACCTTGGCGACTTTGAGACTTGTGGACTTCAACTCCCAGAATTCCTCAGCCCGCCCAGAATTCCCCAGCCAGCCAGGAGAATTCTGGGAGTTGAAGTTCACAAGTCTTAAAGTTGCGAAGGTTGGAAACCCCTGGCTTAAGCTATTGCGAGGATGACAGAGCAACAATGCAAACCAGATGTATGGGAAAGTAAAAGATTACGGCTGTAACGTTAGTATCTTATTCTATTTTGCTAAAAAAGAGTTGGATGTCAATGCTTTTCTTGTCTTTTTCCCCTTTACCCTACACTTCTTTCTCTTCCCTTTCTCCTTCCTCGTTTTCCCAACTATTTTCACTTTCTTTTCTATTTTATATCTTAGCAATAGCAATAGCACTTAGATTTACATACCGCTTCACAGTGCTTTACAGCCCTCTCTAAGTGATTTACAGAGTCAGCCCCCAACAATCTGGGTCTTCATTTTACTGACCTCGGAAGGATGGAAGGCTGAGTCAACCTTGGGCTGGTCAGGATTGAACTGCTGAACTGCTGGCAGTCAACAGTCAGCAGAAGTAGCCTGCAGTACTGCATTCTAACCACTGCACCACCACGTCTTGATAATAACATTAATAAAGGAAACCAAAATATGACTGGGCAGCATACAATAATAAATCGCTATTTATAAGATTAGCTGCCAGTGGAGTCCTGTACTATTTCTTGATTGTTTATGTCCATTCTCTCTTTCATTCTTTCCCCAGCTACTTTGGGATCGCTTGGCTTTCAACATCTTGGGTATGTCTAGTTTAAGGAAGAGAAGGACGAGGGGGGACATGATAGCAGGGTTCCAGTATCTCAGGGACTGCCCCAAAGAAGAGGGAGTCAAGCTATTCTCCAAGGCACCTGAAGGCAGGATGAGAAGCAATGGATGGAAACTGATCAAGGAGAGACGCAACCTAGAACTAAGGAAAAACTTCCCGACAGTAAGAACAATTAACCAGTGGAACAACATGCCTCCAGAAGTGGTGAATGCTCCAATGCGGGATATAGAAAAGGTTGGGAGCCGCTGCACTAGAGTAATACAACTACACTTTGGCTACTACTGAGCTCAATGTGGCTGGTCTTACAAGATGTATTTTGTATTCAATTAAATCAAAAGCATTTTGATTAGCTACGTTAACCAATTCTACGGGTACCGAAACACCTACGCAGACAAGGAGAGCCGGAATTGGGGTGCAGTGTTTGACATGGATCATGGCCAAGAGACTTGGTAAATGACCTTCTCGGGCACCGGAGAAACACAGCCTAGAAAAAGAGAAGAAGAAGAAGAAAAACACTCCTAAGCCTGTTTTATTTTAGGCCCTTTCAACAAACACATAGTTTAACTTTCTTAGTGGAAGAACTGAAACTGGTGGAAGATACTGAAACCCAATGGGGAATATTTAATACTTGGGGGGAAAGATTCAGTCTATTACTTAAGAGTGACAAGTGACAAAAATGGGTATTTCACACCTCCAGTGTTCTGCTTAGAGGGATATTTTCTTACCACATTCTGGTATTTTCCAGATGTGATGGATTTCAGCTTTGGGTAGCCACTCCACTGTTTCATGGATAAAGTGGAAGAGGAGAACATAGATGTTGGCTTAATATACTTTAAAACATTGGGATGAGTAAGGAGGAGAAGAAAAGTCAATGGTTTCTAGATGGTTCTCAGTCGTGTGATATTTCTCCCAAGTTTGTTGAATTTCTGGACCCCCTTCCCCTGTTTTATCTTCACAAACTCTCTGATACAATTTCTACCAAGAATGGTTAGTCCAAAATCCAAGCTCCCCAAGAATGAATGAATGGGATTTGAATGTTCAGTCACGGGCATCTGTTAAAAACCACGGTGATGTCACATGATATGATTGAGATGAATTATAAAATCCACATAATTGGTGATATGATATGATGTACTGTATATGATATCACTCAGGCCTGCTCTGCATGCTCATAAGATTAATATTCTATTACACTAAGTGTTTTCAAAAGAAGTGGCTCAAAACAAAATTAAAATCTAATCAAACATGCTGATCCAGCAATTGCCCCAAAGATTTTGCTCTGAACAGTTCACACAAACAGTACCATTCTCCTGTTCATGTTAGCACAATTACTAGCCAACTGGTAATGTATATTACCCCTGATGCTGAATATATAGCCATTCACTGCCTGCTCATCTCCTCATACTATGCTGATTATTTGCTGATGATGATCTTAACCTCCTTACATTTGTCAAATTTCTTTTTAAAATGGCTCCAGACATTTGGCATCACCTTATCAGGACAGCACACACAATCTTACATTCATATTGTCCCAAAATCTTAACTGCAGAATTAGCACCATGGGGACTACTTGCAACTTGATGGCAGAACATGAACATGGCAACTTGCATGGCTAACTAAGTATATTAAGAGTGCCATGTCCTAAAACTCTGTTCAGCATGAAACACACCAGAACATTCCAGCTAGGAAAGCAGAGATGTTTCCCCTCCCTCTTCCCAAAGTAAATAAATAAAAAAAAATGCTCAGGAAAAATAAGCAAACAAATAAATCGTACTTTATCTAACCTTGAGGAGGTAAAAAGGTATCCATTTATTCCTCCAAATGTAGACAATGCCACAGACACTGGCATAACCCAGGAAAAATAGCCCAGTAACTTCTCACCAAATGTCTAAAGCAACAAAAGGCAGGAGGAGGGATGGAAACGAAACATAAATTGCAACGCACCAAACAAAAAGCAGAATGATTCCCTTCAACGAATCCCAACCTGAAGTCAAATCCCAGGGTATGTTTTACTTACTACCGCCACAGCATTGGAAGACAGGAGTTCTTGGGGTGACATGGCCGTGAAATAAGCAACATTGGTGAAGGTGTATACAAAGGTCACCAGGGGAATGGAGATGAATATGGCACGGGGTAGATTCCTAATTTCCAAAACAAAAACGGGGGGGGGGGGGGACTTGATCAGCGTTGATAAGCAAAGCCCGAGAAGCAAAACCCAACATGGACATGGATTATGGTCAACAGGCAAAATAGGTATAATGTGAACGAATTGTATGCAACAGTAAGTTGCAGGAACGTTAAGCTAAATCACATCCACTGTGTACATGCCGAAAAAGGTGAACAGCCAGAGCACAGATTGGCATTCTTATAGGACAATGTCTATCTCCTCTTTCTGATGCTGCTGCAGTTCAGTGGATGGCTAACAATTGGAAAAATCAGTAAATATGTTGTCATGGTTGATCATATTCCCTAGAAGCCGGAAAGTCGGGCAATTTTAAGGTGCCAGTCTGATTAAGTATAATGACCATTGAAAACCCAGATGCTGAACATTTGCCTTGGTTAGAAGTTAGCAGAACAGGCTTGTTCTTAGCAGCACGATTCCCTGTCCAGCTATTCTAAACCAGGCATGTCCAACCTTGGCAATTTTAAGACTTGTGGACTTCTATTCCCAGACTTTAATGTGGACTGTGGATTTCAACTAGCAACTTTAAGACCGGTGGACTTCCAACTCCCCAAAGTCCCCAGCCAGCCATGTCAAGGTTGTAGCTGAAGTACACAGGTCTTAAAATGGCCAAGGTTGGACACCCCTGTTCTAAGCTTTCCCATCTTGTCTACTTCTTCCCTCTCTTCCTATTGGTATCATCTCACCTTCTTTCCTCAAGCCATAAGGAAACCAATCACTGGGATCCAATGATGCAGTAGGACAACAGTTGGGCCAAACCTTGGCCAAAGCGCATAGAAACACTTACCTGCGTGGCTCAACCAGTTCTTCTGTCACATAATTTAGGAAATTCCACCCACTGAATGCGAAGGAACCTTGGAGAAAGGCTAGCGCCAAATGTCCCACAGACGGGGTCATCCAGAAGCTAAATGCATTGCTCGGTATTAACGGTTCATAGTTTCCTATAAGGAGAGCAGAGTTTAGTGAAGGCATCGCCAGTTCACACAAGCACATCATGTAGAGTCAAAAGAAATCAAGATGGCAGCTGGTCCTGTGTGATTGAAATCCTGTCCCTTTTTAATGTAGATCACATGAAAAAAGGATGGGGTTCACATAATGGAGCCCCGGCTATCCTGTTGAGTTTTTGATTCTAGCACACAGAAAAGTGAGGGAATGACTACAAGAGAAGGCACCATTATTGCCTCTGGACACAACCATTTTTCATCTTCCCTTTTAAACAAGGAACTCTCTCACTGCTGGAGAAAGGAGAAACATCTGGAGAAGCATCACAAAAGAAGATGGCTTCCTTTCTCCAGTGATGAAAAGCACTACTCATTTTTTCTAACCTCCCTCTGTTTTTTCTAGAGCAGAACTCTCTGGAATCAAATCATTTGGGGAAAAAAGCCCTCTTTAAAATAAAACATTCATGCCCCGTAGTCAATTCAAATCTTTTGGCAATCCTAGTTGCACGATGCCTTCTACTTTTCCCCTTCTTCCTGTCATTCTTTCCTCTACCCTCATTTTTACTCTTGTTGAGCCAAATTAAACTCTGGTGATTTTTTGGGCAAACATCCCTGTTCTTTGCAACATGTTGGTGACAATATAAAAGTGGTTTTCCTCTTTTCACTTCCTAGTCTAGTCCATCACCCTGGGGTTGATGGTGAGTTTCCATCAAGCAACAATCTTAGATCCAACTTAGCCCTTCCAAGACCAGCTAAAGTCAGGGAGATGCTGTCATAGCCTCCAAAAAACTGTTTATGGGGATTCTCCGTCATCCAGATCATGGTTGTCCCAAAGGTGCCTTTTTCAACTGGACTTTGTTTTTCCTTGAAGATGTTTCACTTCTCATCCAAGAAGCTTCTTCACAGAACTGAAGAAGCTTCTTGGATGAGAAGCGAAACATTTTCATGGGAAAACAAAGTCCAGTTGCCTTTTGAAAAAAAGCATCTTTGGGACATCCTCCAAAAAACTATTTTATCAAACGGTGTGACCTTTTACATCACCCAATTGTCCTGTCCCTTTTGTGGAAATGAAGGTAGAATGATTAGCAGACATAAATTGCTCCCAACAGTTGATTACATATGAAATTCACTGCCCAAGGCACGCCTTGGAGCCCACCATGAAGCTTATCACAGATGTTTTCAAATATCACTCATTATAAAAACACTGGGATGCAGGAGTTTTCTAAAAAGTGTTGAATTTCATGCAGAAGACCATTTAAACACCAGGGTTTTTGCATCAGTACCTTTGAAGATTTGCACAAAGCCAACAGTTATGATAAGACCCAAAGCCAAGAGTTTTCCTGCTGTGAAGATGTCCTGGATTCGTGTGGCCCACCGAACGCTGGAGCTGTTCACCCAAGTCAACAGTGCTAGAGATCAGAAAGCAGAGTTCAGTTCCTCAAAATGGAAAGCAAAAACAGGGGGATCTGCAGGGAGGAGTAAAAAAAAAAAAAAAGTCAAGATGGCAGCTACAACTACATGGTTGAAACCCCGCCCTTTATGTAAATGCATGTAAATAGGGAGGGTGGTTTTGGTCCCACAGCCACAGTTGCCACCATGATTTTTTTTTTACTCCCCTGCAAATACATCTCAGCAAAAGCCACATCAATGTACAGGCTTGAGCATCACTGTGTATTTCTAATTATGACCTTAACATGATCGCAAAGATAAATAAGGTTTTTGGTATGTCACGTCATTACGCTTTTCTCCTCCTTTTCCATGGAAATCTTTCAGTTTTGTTTTCTACAAAGGGTGTGGTCAATGACATGTCTATCTAATCACAGTGGGTAAGGTCAAACTTGTTAACCTCTTTTGGGAAGCCTGGAAGAACAGATAAATGGGCCTGTGTGAATAGATATACTTAACCCTCTTTAAGTCCAGTATTCCAAATGGGTCCAGCTACTCCAGGGTTACTTAGTACGTGACAAAAGAGCGGCTAGGCTGCCTGCCTGCAGGTCAGGAGAGCACTTTGGAAACTGTTGTAATTTTATCATGAAGCACAAGAGTCTCTCTGTGCTCCCCCACCTCCCGTGGGACACTAGGAGAGGTGATAAAATATCTACCTTCTATGCCCATCCCTGAGAAAGTCCAGTTCAATTCTGAAATGTCACCTCCAAGTACTTGCAGAACAAAAGGCTCCTCTTTCAAGATGCTTCCATTGCCAGGACTTAATACAGGTTGTCCCCAACTTACAACCATTCTTTTAGAGACCATTTGAAGTGACAGGGCACTGAAAATGTGTCTTATGACCATTCCTTGCATTATGGCTGTTGCAGCATCCGCATGGTCATAGCATCAAAATCTGGGTGTTGGCAGGTGTTTACAATGGTTGCAGTGTCCTCAGGTCACGTGACCGCCATCTGCAACCTTTCCAGCCATCTTCTGATGAGCAAACTTAAGGGTGGGGGAGGGGAATCCTGATTTGCTTAATGACAGTGTGATTAACAACTGCAGCGATTCCGGTAAGAGCCACGGCAAAAAACCCCGTAAAACTGAGCTCAACTCATCAAACAATTTTGTTGCTTAGCAACGGAAATTTTTGCCCCAGTTGTGGTTGCAAGTCAAGGACGACCTGCATACCAACAGGCAGAGGTGTGTTTTGCTTCCCCATTTCAGAGAAAGGCAGGGCTATTGATAGCCCCGAGCCCAATCAGAGTCTTACAAGACAAAGAAAACCGATGATCAATCCATACTTACACAAACACACCATGGAGAGAACTCGTGAAGCTTTGTAGGGTGGGATGCAATTGGGGAAAACTGGCTGTAGCACATAGTTAGAAAAAGTCAGCGCAATGACAGCCAGGCTGGTTGGGTACATGATAAGGACTGCGCTCCATAGCAGTAGAAATCTGCAACCAACGGAAACAATTCAAGATCTCTTGCTCAAAACAAGACTGCCGGGCAGAAAAGCACGTATAGGCCAAGTGTTACAGAGAGAGATTTGAGGGGAAAGGAGTAGAGGAGTATCCTGCTGTTCATCTGGTTTCAATCTACTCTCTGAAGGAGAAGGGGAGGCAGAGTTAAACAAGTCATCAGCCTAGAATTCTTACATTCCCACAAAGGATCTAATTCCAACCCCTCTTGAATTCCACTGACTCCTATCTAGATCAATTTAGTGTTGAATTTAGTTGACTAGATTTTTGTGTATAGGCTTGAGCAAAAACTCTTCTGAACTGCAACTTAGCGTATTGTCATGATTCTTCATGCCTGACACTGTCATCCCACTGGCATGGTTAAATGAATATTCCATAAGGCTACTGAAAAATAACACGGCAGAACAACACGTTAGGAACATGTTCTCAAAAGGCATCAGGAAAACATTCGCTAAGGACTGAGTAACAGGGATGATCCACTGGAGACCACTGGACTGGGAAGCGAATGGGAGAGGTAATGTAGTGTTGCAACTGCACAGTCAACAACCCATCCCTTTTGCTGCATGTGCCACAATGTTCACAAAAGGAGTAGGGCTTTGGTCCTGCAATTATTACCATATTTTTTCCGTGTATAAGATGCTATTTTTTCCCTGCAAACACCCTGTTCAAAAATCAGGTGTGTCTTATATAAGTGCAGTGTCTTATACATGGAAAAAATAATGGTATCCTCCACAGCCCAAGGCGTGCCTGTGTGGGTTGCCATGCCACCTGGTGCAGGGGTCAAGCCCCTATAGCTTGCCACTAATGGGAGGGGGAAGGGGGCAAGATCATCGGCCGCCCGAACTTCTGGATTTGCCAGCTCAGCTGTTCGGAGCTCCGCCAAACAGCTGATCGGCGCAGAGAAACTCGCATGCCAGAGCGTCTTATACAAGCGTGCGTCTTATAGACGGAAAAATAGGGTATTATGATTAATTTGTATACATTAGCCATCCAACTCCAGTGGATTCTGCAGCAATCCCTTCACCTCCTTTTCCTCTGCTGGTGCCCGCTGTTGAAATTGGATCATTTGTCTGGATAGGTTACACGCTTGTGGTTATTGATAAGAAATTCCTACATTTCCAATTATTGCCATATTTGCTCTAACGATCACCTGAAAGGTGGCACGTGGTCAAACTATTCCTTCCATTGTCCATTACAGGGGGAGCAGGAAATCTGCATTTCACTTAGGGAATTTGCTATTGTAAGATTGTCTGAAATGCTATAGGGTTTCCTGCTTGAGCAGGGGGTTGGACTAGACGACCTCCAAGGTCCCTTCCAACTCTGTTATTTTGCAGGATTCACTCTGGGTCGGTCACCAGGACCAGAGGTTTGTCTTCCGAGTTTTTGGACTTGTGCTGGAACCCATTTTTCTCTCTCCAGCAGCTAGAGAGAAGTTCCCTGAGGATGGCCTTCTGAACGCTAGGCTGCATTAACAGAGGGATAGAATCAAGAACACGCAAAGTATTAATACCACTCTACAATGCCTTGGTAAGGCCGCATTTGGAATACTGCATCCAGTTTTGGCCACCACGATGTAAAAAAGATGTTGAGACTCTAGAAAGAGTACAGAGAAGAGCAACAAAGATGATTAGAGGTCTGGAGGCTAAAGCATACAAGGAACGGTTGCTGGAATTGGGTATGTCTAGTTTAATGAAGAGAAGGACGAGGGGGGACATGATAGCAGTCTTCCAGTATCTCAGGGGCTGCCCCAAAGAAGAAGGAGTCAAGCTATTCTCCAAAGCACCTGAAGGCAGGACAAGAAGCAACGGATGGAAACTAATCCAGGAGAGAAGCAACCTAGAACTAACGAGAAACTTCCTGACAGTGAGAACAATTAACCAATGGTATAACCTGCCTCCAGAAGTGGTGAATGCTTCAACACTGGAAGTTTTTAAGAAGAAACTGGACAGCCATTTGTCTGAAATGGTATAGGGTTACCTGCCCTAGCAGAGGGTTGGACTTGATGACCTCCAAGGTCCCTTCCAACTTTATTATTATTATAAGATTAAAACTCTGGTCCCATGACCAACCCAGATTGGATCCTGCAACATTATCCTGGGACATATATATTCACCTTCATTAATTTATTATTCTGTAAGATGTGAAGCTGAGGGCCAGTAAGTTAGTAGGCTGTTAACAACAACAACAAAAAAAGCTGACACCATTTCACAGAGGATAAATCTGTTAATATTAGTGGAACGTCCTTGTTCAGAAGCAGTCACCCATGAATAATAAATGCAGGGGGTAAACCACCACTTTCTCATTGATTATTCCTTGAACCTGGATTGAGTCTCCTAATGTTAACATATTTGTCCCCAAGTTACACATTTTCTGAGCTCAGTTACAAATCAGATGGAAAACCTTTCCCATTTTATTAGGGCCCATGTTTCTCTGTACTGCTTCTTTCGAATTTTGAAAAGATGATTTATATTTATATATTTTATATTTATATTTAAGTGTTTTAAAAGCTGCAGAGCCCATTTAACTAGGAGCCCATGCTTGGCTACCCCAAGAGCAACTGTAGCTCTCGCTGAAAATAGATTTGAGTCCTGCATGGCAATAAAAACAGGGCCCCGTAAAGAAAGGCAAGATTAAGGGATCTCCCATTTGAATTATGGTTGGCTGAAGGAGGCGTTAATTCCTCCATAAAGCTGAATTTTCAAATGCTGCAGATTTCAGTTTTTATATCTCTATTTAAAACTCTTGATTCGGTCCCTTCCTTTCCTGCAATAAACATGGATTTCTAGAGCTTTGGAATTTATCAGATGTTGCAGGAATAAAGTCTTTCTTTTTGTAGGCGTTTGTCATTTAATCCTGGAGCTTGCAAACCATCTTCCCCAAAGGCAATCTGGCTTATTGTGCCCCTATAAATACAAGTTGGCTCCTGCTTATCTATCAGCACAGACCTGCCCTCCTTTCCCTTCCCAAAATCCAATCTGTATGCAGATGTTTTCTGCTTGTCTGCACAATACCAGCACTCCGAGACTCTGCTGTAGCAATATTGCACAGTCCATCAGTCAGGCATTCAATAAACGTTCTTCCTTTGTAAACAGATGGCTGGGGATGCTACTGAATCATGGGCCGTAATAAGTTAGGTTTAAAGCCTGGGTCCTCGGCTGGAGAGCCCTGATGCGGGGGTCCCTCAAAAAATTGCTGTGAAATTGGAATTTAAGTTTGAAAGAAGAGAGGAAAGGTTCAAATACTACTGCTCCCCCCTTACAGGTGCCTCTAGTTAGAGTAAAGGATTGCCAGGTGTTTTTTTTTTTTGCCATATTATCAGGCACAAAGAATCAGGCCATACGTTAAATTGCAGTTCAGAAGCTTTGTTGCTCAAATCTGTACTCTAGAATCTAGTCAACTAAACTTCAGTAGTAGATTTGCACCAGATAAGGGTCAACGGAATTCGAGAGAGGTTGGAGTAGGACCATTTGTAGGAACATAATGATTCCAGGTTGGTGACTTACTTAACTCCACCTCTCCCCAGCTCTGTCAGCTTTTCTCCTACCTAGATGAATCTTTTAAGAAAATCAACAGAGGACACAATATAAGACACTGCAATGTATTTATTTCATTTCCACCTTGCCTTTTTTCCTGCAAACCTAAGGTGTATGTGTGTGTGTGTGTGGGGGGGTCTTCCCTAATTTTGTTCCTATGACAACAACCCCATGAAAGAGATTGTTTGGGGAGGAGATGTTTGAAGCAACCAATGGATTCCAAGGTCAAATGAGGACTCAATCTCAAGTCAGTTCCTAGTTTTGTATCAGAAATATTACACAGATCTGCTCTGTGGGAAGAACTAATGAAAGAAAATTCACGGCTGTGATTTTAGACCCTTATGACAACATAGCTATCCACCCTTATCCTGAAGTCACACTTACCCAGCTAATCCACCGAAAATGTCAGTGACGTAGGAGTAGTCGCCTCCTGATTTAGGAATGGTAACTCCTAATTCAGCATAACAGAGAGACCCAAGTGCTGAGATCCCGCCACCAAGTATCCATATTATGAGTGCGAGTCCCACTGACCCAGAATGCTCAAGAACTCCTTTGGGTGAAATAAAGATGCCAGAACCAATAATATTACCTAAAAGAAAAAAAAAGGTGAAAAGATATGGTTAATATTCACAATCTGCACCAAAAGGCAGCATCAAATAGACCTTGGCTGACCTTGAAAAATCTGTGCAATACTTGGACAGAAGACCATCTTGGAAGCTGTCAATGACATCTACACTGCAGCTGAGAAAACAATAACAGATGAAGAACGGTTGCAGGAATTGGGTATGTCTAGTTAAAGAAGGAGTAGAGGTGACATGATAGCAGTGTTCCAATATTTGAGCGGCTGCCACAAAGAAGAGGGGATCAAATTATTCTCCAAAGCACCAGAAGGCAAGGCAAGAAACAATGGATGGAAACTAATCAAGGAGAGAAGCAACTTAGAATTAAGGAGAAATTTCCTAACAGTGAGAACAATTAACTTGTGGAACAGCTTGCCTCCAGAAGTTGTGAATGCTCCACCACTGGAAGTTTTTAAGAAGAGATTGGACAATCAGTTGTCTGAAATGGTATAGGATCTCCTGCTTGAGCAGAGGGCTGGACTTGAAGACCTCCAAAGTCCCTTCCAACTAGGTTATTCTGTTAATTCTGTCTTGTGTCATCATCAGCCCTTGAGTTTGACACAAGGGAGGCTCAACTGCCAATTTCATTTCCTTACAGGATTTTGATGGCCAAATTCACACATGATGGCAGGCCAGATTAATTGAAAAACCTCTAGTGACATGTTCTACCATCACGTATCAAAAAGAAATAAACCCTCTGTGCATATAGCTATCAAAAGGTTGTCTGCCTCTTAGTGTAATATGCAGCCTATTATGTTTATCTCATTTTACGGCTGCGTCTGTTCTTGGTCATCATTAGTGCCAACAACAGCCTTCTGAAACTTGGCAACTTCAGATGTCTTAGACATTATCCCAAGCCAATAAAGGATTCTGCTCATTTGCTTGCATGCTCCACGTACGACCCTCAATTATATGCAAGTGTTAGACTGAATTATTTCCCCTTCAGTGTGATAAAAGATTAGAATAGGATTGTGCTGGAGACCTATTTGTCTTTTGCTTAGTGCAAGTAAAAAAACAGTGTTTCCAAACACCATTATTTCTACACTATTTGAAGAAGAATAAACAAATATCATATGGGACCACCAAGCCATCACTCCCTAAAACTTGAATCCATAAAACTAAAATGTCTAAGAAATCTACACATTAAAGTCATATTTTAAAAAGCTCAAAAACCAGGAGCACAATTATACAAAGACAATTTAAACCATTGTGAGAATACCATTTAAAAATAACCGGAGGGCTAGCGCATTCTTCCAATCAAAACCTCTTGAAAACTGGGTTTTCAAGTCTTGCTTAAAAGCCAGAGGTAAGGAATGAAACTGCTTTGGGGCCACCATGGAAAAGACCCTGTCAAGAGTGCCATAAATAGATTTGCATAACCGATGTTACAGCTCATGTTCATCAAAATGTAGGTGATCTTAAATGTATATATCCTTTATACTAGAGGTGTCAAACTGCCGGCCCACGGGTCGGATGCGTTATGCCAAAACCGCACCCACCCCATTGCCAGCAATGGAAAAAAAGACATGATATGTCACATCACATGACATTGCGAGTGTGACACCCATTGTCTATGAAGTACAATTGATGGCCACTGCAAATAACCGATAACCACTGATGCTTTTTGAAGAGAAGTCACAGGTCAGCAATAAATAAGAAAATACTGAACATTAAGAAAATATTTCTGCTTTCCCCAAGAACAAAACAGTGTACAATTGGAAATACGTCAGAGAGACCATAGAAAAGTGTTCTAAAGAGAATTTTAATCTTGTAACTAAATGACTTTTTTTGGTAAAGACTTTAGACCCAGCCAAAGATGAGTCTAATTAACATTCAAAAGAACTTTCTCAAAGGAAAGCGGTCATCTTGGTCAGAATGCTAAACTAGTCAGAGAAAACCTGACCTTTCCAGAGCATACTGCAAGGGCCGCAATACGAAATAAGTGGGATCCTGAAAACAAAAACAAGAGATGGACCAACTGGTTTGGATGTTTCTTTTCAAGGTCACGGATTATGTAAGGAGATGCTAAGGAAGCATGAGAAAACTTGGCTGGCCTAATAATGGTCTTTTAATAGAAATGTATCAGGTCAAAGCTAAGTAAAAATCATGCAATCTCGTTTTCCAATTTTGTTTGTAACCTGTTTGTTGCCCCTATGGCAGTGACTCCCCACTGAAGGAAAACTTTTAGTTTTCAGAAGAAAGCCAAATGTCAAGAAAGTGAGCAGCATCAACAATTTTATATGGGCCGGGAAGAAACCAAGGGTTAAGTTTAAGATATTATAGGATGCTCGAGAAAGAGGGGGACTTAAGACACCAAATTTGAAATTATATTATGAGGCAGCTGCCTTAACTTGGTTAAGTGACTGGCTTAATTTAACAAATATGGATATTCTTTTTTTGGAAGGCTGGGATTTAATATATGGTTGGCATGCATACTTCATTTTTAACAAGAAAGTCGATCGGACTTTTAGATCACATATTTTGAGGAATGCCTTACTTCGTGTCTGGAAAAAGTATTATTATAGATTAAATTATAAAATACCTATCTGGGGGATTCCCAGACATGCAATTGAGGGAACTTCTAAGGGGATAAATTTTGATAAAATTTTGTATAAAGAATTGTTAATCTGGTCTGGTTTGAATTGGCATTTGAAATCCCTAGATGTATTAAGGCAGGAAAATATTCTACAGTCATGGTTTCAATACTTACAAATAGTGGATAGATGGACTGTAGATAAGAAATAGGGAATAACATTAGAAGATAAACAATTGGTTATTCACATTAAAAATCAGAGCCCGGCTCCTATAAAAAGAATTTACAATGTGTTATTAGAGTTAGATTCGGAAACAGAATTGGTTAAAGATTGTATGATTAAATGGGCTCAGAATATACAGGAACTGATTTCATTGGACTTATGGGAGAAAATATGGACTAGAAATGTTAAATTTACACAAGCTCAAAATTTGAGAGAAAATTATGTAAGGATGGCTTTCAAAAGCCAATAAAATAAAAGGGAGTAGCACGGCTAAGGAAAAGGGGGGGGAAATGGTGGACTGCATTGTTTGGCGACCCCCATGAAATGGTCGTTTGACCCCAAATGGGGTCCCGACCCACAGGTTGAGAACCACTGGTTTAGACACATATGTCCATTTGTTTTAATTTAACTTACTATCTCCACGTCTTAAAAGAAACATTCACCATTACTGATTATTGAAACAAACAAAAATAAAACAAACATCTTTTTTGCCTAAAATACTTTGATAATGTTCTCCAAAGCCAAGATGGGTGGGTATGGGTAGCATTGGCAAACACAGCAGTTGGACATATTTGATCTTAAAGAAAGCTGTTTTTGTTCCCAACAACTTTGAGAAATTCCGCTGTAAATCATTCCAGACCCAGTCATTCATCTGTCAGCATGACTCGCTGTGAAACTGCCAAGGTGGAGAAGACCTTAGATGATCTCCCACAGAATGCCTAATTGTCCAATACAGTACAGCCGCTTACAATAAATGCAAGATAGTCCAGCGAGTGATACTTTGTTGGGGAAAAGAAAACAGAAGTAGCTTGAGTTTAGTTCCGTTTCACTGAATGAGCATGTTTTTTATTAAGACATCCTTCAACTACAGCTTGGAACGATTAGCCTCTGCCCTGGTGAATTTTGAAACATTTTCATCAGAGTATTTAAAATGTAACTACGCTGTATCATCCAGCTAAATGGCTTGTCACCTCTGTCAGAAAAACCTTAGTGAGCAATTCTATTCACTTGCTAAAGTTTGGGACCGAAGACAATATTTGATGGCAGAGAAGGGTGACAGCATGATTATGGAGATTCAACAATAATTAATAGCTAATAAGTACATTCAACCTTGTAGCCTGGTCAATTGTGAGAGAAGCTATGAACTATAGTGCAGTAAATCTGGTAGACTGACTTTTCCTATTTCTACATCTATAAACTTGTTTGGAGAAAATGGTTCTGATTGAGCTCCATCCAACTAGAGCTTTGGTTCTGCTCATGTCCAATTTTCAAACACAGACAAACAATTCCACACTTACAATCACAGCGGGACTGGATTCAAGGTAGGAGGATCCTGCCATGACCAGTGTATGGTCCTTAATGTACCAATGACAACAATGACCTTGAAGATTATCTGCAGGTTTGAGAGATCACCAAGTTAATCAAAAATACAGAGATGCCTTCGAGCAGGGGTGTCCAACCTTGTCAACTTTAAGACTTGTGGACTTTGACTCCCAGAATCCCCCAACCAGCATGGACACCCCTGCTTTAGGAGGAATGTTAGATAAGATCCACCAGGACTCAACGCTCCCAAGCCATTCTGATTTGCAATGAACTATTGCCCTTCCCCTGATTGACTCTTAACCATGAGCTTCATCTTCTTATTGACAATGGCCATCTTCTTGATTCCTTTACACAGGAAGACTCTCAGCATTTGAGTATATAGGATTCTAGCCAGTTGTGGGATTCAAATATGTGAGCAACCAGTTCTCTGTTTGGATGCCACTTCCGGAAGTCCATTCTGGGCCTGGGCAACAAAAAAATTAGCTACTGGTTCTGCCGAAGTGGTGTGAACCGGCTGAATCCCATCACTGATTCCAGCCTTAAAATATTACCTATCATTCAATCTTTTGATATATGCAGTTGCCTTCTCACAGCTGCTTTTAAAAGCTGTCTCCAGAACTTCTGCATGGATGTGTAAAGTTGCTTTGCTTCGCTGGTGATCCCAACAAAGTATTTTGTGTGTACCATACTTAGGGACTGGATACGTGGAAGCCTTCCCCAAAAATATGGCTGCTTTAAGCCTTGGAGCTTCATTCACCCCAACGTGCTTTGAAAGCATCCCCGTCCAAGGTTTTGCACAGCCCTAAACCTCTTTTGAATTTAGCAATGTGGAGGCCTCACTTTGTTTACAGTCAGGAGAAGTATTTTCCTGAGTAAGATCTAATTTTAAA